AATAACAAACTACTTAGCTTGCGGCGATCGTAAAGCGACGGTACTACTTAACGACATGCATTGTAACAGCTGTTTCCTGCAAGTTCTATTACAATCACTTTCGTACCTGGTCGATTTATTACAATGGTACGACTGTGTTACATTTAGTCCGGTTGCCGCAATGGTACAGCGACAAGTAGCTGTTGCAAAAGCCATTGTCTACCTGTTTCTTTTTGCATTTGCGATGCATTTCTTTCGCGCATGCAGCCAGATAACGCAATTCGTCACGTACTTTGAGTCAGATGATAACGTCAGTTTTATTCAAATACGTTGAACAAAGATCTCATAATATTGTGGCTTTTAACGATATATTTGCTATTACCAATCCTTTCGAAATATAATAAAACAAATAACAAGTTTGTGTTTATTTTCTCCAGGGATTATTAAATATAATTTCGAGTACCATTCTCACAAGAGTCATCCTGGTGTATAGGCATGTCATGCCATAAACACATCGTTTTAATCGATCGCTTCGAAATCCATTGCCGTCGTTCAGGATCCTCGTCGTCTCTTTCTGCTTCGGGAATAGTTAATTCACGAGCCGCGTGGTAAAAGGGCTGAACAGGTTCCGAAGGATACCGGTAGCAATAAACACTAATACCATAGTGTGGTATCTAGCGTGCAAAATATATTCAATATCAATGCACGCGCTATCTCTCGTCCCACGATGGGCGAATCTCGTATCTAAACAGCGCGCAAACATTCCGCGGCTCTAAAATATGAAGTGTCTCGGTGGTCCTTAGTTCGTAATCAAGGACGTTTCATGTCGCGTTGCTTCACAGTACGCTGTAATCACGGATAAGTCGTACTTATCGCGACCAATATCTTACATTGTCAAAAATAACCCCGCAGTCTTACGAGAAATTTATGCAAAGTACTCGACCGTGTAATTTCCATTATTGTAAATTCACGGACCAAGACTCGAGGCGGATATCGGCATGTTACGCGTTCGTATAGGCGGCGATTATTTAAAGCCGACTCTGGAATTGGTAAACTATCAATGCGGAATTTTGTCGTTAACCATTTGTGGGCAGAAACTCGCGTTTTATCGCGTATCAAAACTTTTATTCCCACTATGATATTAATCTTATCAAGAAGCAGTATTGCAAATTTCACCTTTTAAATTTATTTATCGAATTGTGCATTATAAATTTAATAAGGATGCAATGTGTTGTTTTTTGATAAGATTAATTTGATCATAATTCGATTTATCAGAGAAATGTTTAAAAAATTATTTTTCACAAACATTATTTCAAACATTTAGAAATAATAAATATTTACACAATTAACGATGTAATTTTATATAACAATTATATTTTAAAAATATAGTAAATGCTTACAAAATAAGAATTAATTCCATAATGCAAGGATATATAAATATATATTCTCATGCATGATAGAACGAGAATTATTTTATATACTATCGTACATATATATATATATAAAGATTCTTGACTATTTCATTCGTTCCAATATCAGCGTCAAAGAATTTATGCAAAAATGATAAACCTAATATAAGATTGAAAACCGCTGTTCGTCAACCGTATCGTTTTCAACGTCGTAGAAATAGACGCATGCTCACGGTACCACGAAGACACTCTCGCTCTATCGGGCTCTATTTAAATATACGTCAGCTCAGTGAGTTATAGGACGGGCCATGTGATTTGTGACAAACTGGCTCCGCCATTAATTACCGTGCAGCATCTTTCCTCGCCTTTACTCTCCTGTAGACGCACCACACACACACATACAAGCATACACACGTATATGTATAACGTTACTACGCGCGAGATGCAACTATCTGAGCGTCGTGTACTCGACGATTCCGGTACTCGGCTTCCTGGACTTTTTAATCTCTCCATTAATTGCTCTTCTGTCGCTTGCTACCCTCTTTCACTTGTTTCCTCTGTTCTCTCTTTATTGCGAAAGATTTATTCTATATCTAACGCCTTTCGACGGTTGATTGAAAGTTTATCGGTTGCTATATCGTTATATCTAATTATAGAAAATATAAAAATTTCGCAAGCAATGTTACAAAAGTAGTAATCTTCAAGCTTAAATTAAGAGAAATTATGACAGAGATTTATATTGTAAAATAAAACACATTGAACGTACAAGAGACGCATAAGTGATTGAAAAATTTTGCGAAACTTGTAATAATGGAAAATTAATATTCGGATTTGTATCGAGAGTCTGCATGCGCGCGATATTGCGAATAAATGAAGAGAAGAGCGCGGGAAGGAGATCGATGAGAAGAAGAGCGATTGCGAGAAAGAAGGGGTGGTGATTATGCAGGTCGTTTATTCGATAAAGGCTCGAATACCGCCATCGCGTGAGGGTGAGGATGACACAGGGTGAGATCTATGGCCCCGTAATATTCTATGAGCAATATTTACGGCCGCTGAGATAAGTGCAAAATGTTTGCGCTTGACGAGGCAGTCGAGCTTCGCTTGCAGGATCTTTTCAAATGGGTGTGAACGCCATTTACGATAAAAAATGTTCTATCGAATTACGACTGGTCTATTTTGCCAATGTTATTGATTAGTTTTATTTTACAACTTATATAATTAATATTATTAGAATTTTCATTGTGAATTACATTATGATTAAATGACACGATGCAACACAAGATCCTCTCGTGAAATAGATAATTGTTTGCGAATTTCGAGGTTACCGCTGGGCTACTTCCTAATCTGCGAAGTAACCGCGACGTAAAATCCAAACCTACGGTCCTGCCGAGTATCGTACAGGACGGGACCCGGTATCCTCATCCTCCGCGCGCTATCGAAAAGCTAGTATTTATAGCTCCATTAAGGCCGGGACTAAATCATCGCAGCAGCCACAACTTTGTTGTATCCAGCCCGGGCACTGCCCATCCGATACCTTCCCAGCCGCGGACCTCTTGTCTAATATTTCGTACCTATGGCGTGGTCTACTACACACGCCTGTATATTTCAAGTATCGATATCGAGGTTGGAGAATGAAAATTTTACCGCGTCTCCTTCCGATAGCGGGGAGGCTCGATGCTCGAAGGAAACTAGAAAAGTCCTACGATCCGGACTATCTCTTTTTTCTTTTTCTTCTTTTCACCTTTCTCGATATGAATGCTTATTTATAATAGAAATTCCGCCGGCGAAATTACTATAATTCTTAGATTAGTTTGTGAATGCAGCTCGAATTTCTCTTGGACTTTATTCCACCTCTCTCTCTCTCTTTCTTTCTCTCTCATCTTTATCTTGAATTGTCTATTCAACGGCTGTCAAACGCGAAAACCTGTTTTATATCCGTTCATTAAATTTCTACTTAATCGCGAACCATCAACGGATTCTGAAATACCAGACACATACGCTAATCTATGAACACGAGCGTGTTCTTTTAAGAGGACAATTTCCGAGTATCGGTCGAACTCCATGTCTGGGACGTAGATTCATCCTGATGACGCGTCGGTGGCAGGATATCGCGGTCCATCAGGTTGTTTAGTGTCGGCGCGGGCGTCCGACAGGGCGGCCCCGTCAGCGGCACACATTACGACCCACATTTACTCGGAGTTACACCGGACCAAACCTCGGTCCGAGAGCGAGCGTGTACGCGAGCGTCTGCGCTCGAAGGGCCGGCGAACTTCTTTTTGGTGACTGCACGATCGGCGCAGCGCGTCAGCATTCATTAGTCCAGGCCTTATCGCGGTGCATCCTCGGCGGAGAGAAAGAGGCGAGTTAGATAAAAGGAAAAGTGAGAGAGCGAAGCAAGTCGATCCTTGACATCGACCTTTTCTGTCCAACTTGATTTATAATTGTGTTTTCGTCTACTCGAGAGGGCCCTCCTAAATCGGGACCATTCTCTAGCAAATATACCATTAAACGAATGGATCATTACCATTATAAGCGAGTCGTTCGACATTGGATAGATGGACGGTTGTTGCGGCTAGTGCAGCATCCTGTATATGCGGGCGTGCACCGCCTCGATCGAAGAACGGCTCTCGTAACATAAAATGGTGATTTTATTTAAACGCCAGCCTCCTCGTCGCTCGGCAGCCACCGCTGTATTTATCGCGGGGCATTCCGAGCGGACGTAAGTATGTCGGTCCACGGTACGCCCGTTAATAATGTCCTTAATCCTCGCGCGAGCCCGGGCTCAGCAGCGATCCTGCAGCCCTCGACCGGCTTTTTTTGCATATACCGGCGTGTGTGCGAAAGCATACACCGAGCTGGGCCGAATTCTCGCTTTCGGATACGGTTTTTCGGCGGTTCGCGATATCTACTTTACGACCATTCTGATTGCGAGTGTAGGCAGGGAAGACGATTGCGGCGGCCTGGACGTTCCATCGGGTTCGACGATATACAGCACGTTGACATATGAACGAAAAAGAGAACCATTCAAAACACGCTGGTATATATACAAGGACCAGATAGCGGACTGAGTTGGTTCTGTGTGGCAGACAAGCAGGCAGGCAGGCGTGGATTGTCGTATTTGTCGTACTTGGAACGATGCTAGATTACGGAGGCGGATGGAATGATCGCTGTTTGGCCTGGCATAAAACTGCGGGTTGTAAATAGAAGCGAAAAAGCCGGACAAGTGCCAAATAAGCGCGCGAATGGTATTCAAATTCAGATGCTACGAGTTGTGCTATAAACTTTAATGCGCGTTAAAAATGCTTTAAATTCTCTATTTTATGGATATATGGTAAATTATTGTTATTTTTCATCAATATTATTATCCATGATATCGAAGAAGAATCGTGTCTGTAATAGGCGGATTGAAAATTATGTTCTAGCATTTTTATTTTCCAGATATTCTGAGATATTTATAATATTATAGTTTCCTCTTATGTCAATCATATATAAAATTCAAACAACATAGAAAAACTAGTTGTTATCTTTAAACTGACAAGTAAAAATGTATTAGTAATTTCACATTAATGTTATATAATCTATATAATCGAATAATTTCACTTCTTGTTACAGCGGCTTGAAAGAAATTGTGGCCAACTCTTCTTCATCCGTATCCTGCGAAACTAAAGCGAAACGTTATACATTGGACAACGTTAGAAAGGACTTTTGACGAGAACGCTGGTAAGTCATAGCGCAGAATGCTGTCTACTCGCGAGAATTTATACAAATTAATTAAAAGGCGCGGGGTAAAATGGTACCGGACTGTCTAATTACTCGGGTGCGCCCGGGCAGCTTCGTCTACAAAAGATGGAGACTGAGAGGTGGCGACGACGTTGGATCTTACGGGGTTGTACAACAGTCGAGACTAGACTGGCAGCGGCGAGGGGTTGCGGGGGAGGAGATTTCAGGCCACACCGAGACAACCGGGGCTAAACAGCCATCTAAATGCATCCGAGGTGGCGCTCACTGCCATTACGGCTGATGGACGCTTATTGACGCACGCCCTGCCAGCTAAGGCAGAGCCTCCAGCAAGCCCTCCAGCATCCCTCGACGAAACGCTCTTCTCTGTCTCTCTGTCTTGTTTCCTTCCTTCTCCTTACCTGCTTCCTTCCCATTTGCTCGCTGTCTTTGCCCCAACGTCCGACTTGCCTTTTATTGTGGCGATATCAAGAAAGCGCCGCGAAAGCTTAAAGCGCGCCCGACTTTCTCCCCGGCATCCAATCGCGAATTTCGTCGCCGTAATTATTCTAACGGATGAAAGCACTTTGGACGCTTTTAATTATCTTTATGCTGATAAGCACTGGAGCAGTTACAATGTGCATTTCTTGTCAATTATACTGTATATTCTCTATTCTGTTTATAACATTTCTATTAATCTTGAGACCTTTTTTTTTTGATCAATACCATGAATTTCTGAATAAGAAAAGAGTTTATAATCAGCAAAGAAGGTATATAATGGCTGTGCTCTCTGCTTTTACATTATATATGTATCTTATTCGTATATAGAATATAACTGTGTTGAAAGTGCGTGTTTAACGCGTATACGCACGTTGATAAAGATCATAGCACGTAATACCAAAGTTCGTTAAGCTAGTCAGCCTCTCCGAGAGAGAGAGAGAGAGAGAGAGAGAGTCGAGTATCATTCTGCAAAATCCTTCGTTCCTACTGGCTGGTTCGCTACCGTCGACAGGGGGTTGCCACGAAGGCAGCTTCCGCGTGGCAGCTTCAGCCGAACCCTCGTACTTCCATCGCCACGGCAGGATTATCGCGTTATTTATGCGGCAATAATAACGAGTTAGTATATGCGCGGGATGTGCTTTATATCCACGTGAGCCATTAGGGTTAATATAGCGCTAGAGTCTCTTTCGCTTTCTCTCTCTCTCTCTTATTTCTATCTCTTTCTCTTTTTTTTCCTTCTGCTTCTCTTTCAAGTAACAAACTCTTGTTCAATTTCGGCCGTGTACGTCATTTGTACGGATCTTACTCCTAACACGTATAACAGAAATTGGCGTAGGGAATATAGTTATCTTTGAATTAGATAAATCGAGATTATATATAAAAAGAATTATTACTTCTTGATAGCTGAAATGCATTTTGACATAATTTCATAATTTAACAAATTTTAATGTGTCTTACTTATTTTTATTTGAATCCCAAAAATTAGATTAAAATAAAACTTAAAATAAGATATTTAAATTAATAAATATATATCTTGAACATGCAATATGCAACAGAGCTAATTGGATTATGACGAAAATGACCACTTGCATCGCATATGTTAATGATTATCTTTTTATCTCACTCGATATTTGGAGCACACTAATACAAATCAATTTCTATTCTCCCGCGTCTAGAGCTTTTACGCTCGTTTGAAAACAGCGGCGATGCAAACTCGCATTTTCAGAATCGTCAAACCGTCGACGAAGGTCGGACCCGTGCGACTGTTTCTCCTTCAGCGCGAGTACAGTCGTTACTTACGACAACGTCGTATCTCACGTCGCACCTGCTAAGTATCCTCGGTACGTCATACAGAGAGGTGGCGCGAACGAATAATCTCGCCACGCGTATGACTCGGGTTTCCCCGCGGTGAGAAGAAAGCTCGGAAATTATCGCGACAGGATTGTTTATCGACTTGGCGATCAGCAATGTCGACCATGCACCACCCTTTTTACGGGTTCTGCTCATTTAAACCATCCTACAATATTATCGATCACGACGTATTAAAATACATATTATATTTCTGCTATTGGACTCGTACAGAAAAAATTCTTATTTATCGCATTAATTATATTTGCAGCGTTCCTCGCGCGGATATAAAAGCGGTTGAAAGTCGTTTAAATAAGGATCGTATTTCTCGTTTCCGATCCTAAAGTGCTATAACGATTTTGATCGCGACAAGGTACCAAAGTGCATATCTCAATTAGTTTTGGAACAATCTCCATTACTTACATTATTAACTTTGGTGAAACGCATCCCAAACTATCTAACCAATCTTATACGGTGAGATTAAAACGCTAAAACGAATGGCAGATTTAAAAGAGCACATGTGTTTGAATTGGTTTTATTGGAATAATGGAAATCAAGGATCGTTTAATATTCGAAATCATAAAATCAGCATTTTTTGTAATCGATGCAATTACTTTGCAAATATTTCGATTTGCATGGCGAAATAATAAACAATCGATTAAACAAATTTCTCAGAATTTTATAAAGTCCTTTCACGAAAGAAAATTCATGACATGATACATCGCGAGTTAAAGGCATCGCTCGAAAGACATAAAGTATTCTGTTGCTGTATCGAATTCCAAACAGGTTTTCCGCCGACGAAAACAAAGAAACTTCTTAAGTACATTTCAAACACATACATCCTCGAAACTACGAACTCTTATTGCATGCCGTTCTTAATCCTTTTCTGTTATCTTCCGTATCGACGAAGGAAAGATATAGAGAAAAAGTCAGATTGCGAAATATAGTCGAATATAGACGGCGGTGTAAATCATCCAACTTCAGTCATAAAACGTGAAACAAGTCGCGTCCAAAAGCGTCAAATGTGAAAGGACTGGAAGACAAATCTGCTGAGTTTGGGCAACTGAAGATGCGTTTCTTCTTCCGGTCACATCGAGGACGACATGGTCGACTTGTGGCGGTTGATTGGCTCGCATCGATCCAGTATACAGAGAGCAATAGATCAGTGAGACAGTGAGAGAAAGAGTCAGTCTTCTGATTCTCCCACTATGTTGCTTTTCCTCGCCGATTGCGCGAACGAATTGGAAAGAAGAAGAAAAATGCATCATAAATATACAACTATACATCGAAATGAAGACTTACAATCGCAACATTGAAATATCAAGATGATGGAAGAAACTGGGAGAGTTTCTTCCATCAATTTCATACTCGAAGGTTTGCGAACCTAGTAAGGGGAAAGGCATTTCGGAAGGAAGATGTCGCATCGATACGAGGCCATATACCGAGAAGCGATGTTATAGCCGCTACGCAAAGAACCCGAGGACAATTGCAGTGATACGAAAGAAAGAGAGAGAGAGAAAAGGAAATTCAGGTAAAGATAGGAGAAATGTAGAGCAGTCGATGGAGCGTTTCAAAGCGCGAAGAAGAAGAAGAAGAAGAAGAAGAAGAAGGAGGAGGAAAGTGTTGCATCAAGACGACGCACTAGATAACGACAAGGAGACTCGTGGGTGCTGCAGAGAGAAGCAGGAGAGAAGATAGGCAGTCAACCAAAGAGAGGCGAAGATCTGAAAAGGTGGAGACGAAGAGCGGAGAAGAAGGGAGAAGAAGAGCAGGAGGAAAACTAGTGATGAAAGTGAGCAAGAGCGAGAGAGAGAGAGACTTTGAGAACGAGAAGCGGAGGCCGCGCGCTGTTGTTCGATTCGAGCCGCGCGGCCGCGGAGAATACGAACGGCCGAATTATGAAAATGACCCTGTGTGACGCGGCAGCCACCCTCACCAGAAGAGATAGCTTCGAGCAATAAACATACCGCCCCGTGCGGCCCCGCAGCGCCCCTCGCCTTCCGACGCGTCCTGGGGTAGTCGGGAAATACGAAGGGGTCGCGGAAGGGGTGGATGGATCCTTCGCTGTCGCTCGTTGTGCACACGCACGGGTAAACACGTACGCGGAACGTGAATGCGCCGTTTCTTAGAACAAGCCTTTCCGAGGTATTGCGACTCCTTATGATTCTTCGAAAGGGCTTGCACAACGCGCGAGAGACTGCACGATGACACTTGTAAAACGCAAATCAAATGTCAGCCGAGTATCAAAAGTGACATTTCGAATCATAATCAAGTATAGGTATATTTCGAGTCTGCAAAGTTATTTATCGATCCTGCATTTTATAAGACGCCTAATTGACAAGAAATGTATTTTTGACGTAATCTGTGGAATATTATTTATTTAGCTAATATTTGCGGGTTTTCGATTCATCCACTATAAATTATGCGTAATAAATTTCACTATATATTTTGGAGGAAATATATTTCGAATATATATTATAATTACGCGAAATATAAGAATATAAAATATCGAGAATTTAAAAATTATAGCGCAAAAAGTTTGATGTAACCTCTAATTAATTTAGTGAAATGCGAGATTTATTAAAATGTAAAATTTACCTCTAATGAAATATTTACCGCATATTTCCATACGAAACGAATTAAATGATACAACAGATTCCGCATCTCGGTTACTGATTTAGATCAAGCATTCATCTTACGATATGTAACGGTGCGCTGGTTTAACTGGTTTAACTGGAAAACAACGAAAGTTACGACGCGCGATCGGGGAATGAAATACGGAAGCTTCTATTCTCGAATGTGATGAAATAATACGGTTAAACGGCTCGTTCCATCGCTCATGAATGACACTCGACCTTTGCGTCATAGTACTCGTATTCTGAAATTGTGCGGCAGTGGTGGAAAAACGAAGGACACACATATGTACGCTAGTTTGCGCGATACGTTCTGGCAGTCTACTAGCTACTATAGAATCCGGAAAAGGAACGCATCTCAAAGGAGTCGAAAGAATATCCCGTTAATCGTAAAATGCGGGCACGACCGATTCCCTCTTCGAAAGAACGCACGACCCATTGCCCTAAAAGCTGTTCGATACGCTGCAGCATTTATCCTGGAATCTGCCTCGTAAATTTCCATTTTCGACCTCCGTTCTTGGCGAATCGCCGTCGAGGCTGCGAACGTACGACGATTGCTTCTCTCACGTTACTCGCCGAATAGATATTCCTACGTCGAAGACCATTCGAACGTAAGATCGACATTACGTAATTCCGGAACGTATAATCATTTTGAATATCATCCGTAAAGTAGAACCTGTATCGCTGTGTGCATAAAAGCTGCCGTCATAAATCGCGAGAAGGAGATTTCGAAGATTAGGATTTCAATTTTATGCGATCTCCTTTTCCAGTTTTCTAATTAGATTGATAATTTACGTATGAGAATATCCTGCCAAATTTTTAATTCTCTTTAAAATATTTTACGACATTAGTTTAAATTTCGAACAATTGAATATTCTTAACCATGTCTCACGCAATATTTTTACTATTTCTATTCAAAGAGACAAGCGACGTATAATATTTTCATCTCCAAGATGGAAAATAAAAATTATTGCGTAATGATATTTTTATTTGAAAATAAAATGTTGAATTCGTTCGATAGATTGCTTTATTGTATCGCCGTAGCGTTGTTTTGCGGCTACTATACGATCGGCAAATAAAATAAATACACGAAACACAAGTATCGCTTCTGTATCTGCGCATTTGTGGGTAAACGCGAAATGGTTGGGAATTGCGTGATCCAGCGTGGACACTTGCGATAAACAGATAACGACACGGCCGGTGTGTACAATGGGAGATCGACGTGCACCTGACGCGGATCGTGATGCATTTCCTGCGGACCGCTGGACCGAGCTGCGGCTAGAAAGCTCGCTTAGCCACCGAGGGCCATTCGTCAACCCTTTGGGTCGCGTCTGCCCGTCAGTCAATCCTGTCAACCGTCAATCACCGTCAGCTCTTCCCTTC